AAAAATAAAAATAAAATAAAATAAATAAAATAATAAAATAAAAAAAAGTAAATAAATAAATCGTAATAAACACGAATACTATACAACAGCCATCGACATACGTCCCCAAGACCAGCAAACATACCAAATTGGCCACCTAAATCTCCTTTATGAAACGCCATCTGACCCCCCCCCCCCCCGCAGGTCGTCACGGAGGAGGAGACCCGATCCAGCGAACTCCGGGTCCGCAACATGACCTTCGCGGACGCCGGCAGGTACACGTGCCAGCCCTCGAACGCGTCGCCGGCTCACGTGCAGGTGGAGGTGGTTCGGGGTGAGTTGTCGGGTCGAGGCTGTGGGACCTTTGCCGGTTTCCGTATATCGATGTGTATAACGCAACGACATACAGGGCATGCATACAAACGTTGTTTATTGTTAGTGTGTGTGTGTGTGTGTGTGTGGTGTGTGTGTGTGTGTGTGTGTGTGTGTGTGTGTGTGTGTGTGTGCGTGTGCGGTAGAAAACACACAATGCACAAATAAGATTTAAGCATTGTGCGTTTTCTGCCATCACACGGTAATGCATTCGCGCGCACGCACGCGCACACACACACACACACACACACACACACCACACACACACACACACACACACACACACACACACACACACACACACACACACACACAACACCACACTCACCCACACACACACCACCACTCACACAAACACACACACAACAACACACCACAAACAAGCACACGCACAGCACGCACGCACGCACGCACACGATCACATGAATGAAAAATCTCATCATAAAAGATAACCAAAGTCAAGATCATTGTTCCTGCCAAAGACCCTCTTGGTGAAAGTGAGTCAAGGAGGCAACTCTTAATTGATCTTGTTCTGAAGGACTTCCTGAAAGGCAACACTTAGTCTGATATATATATATGCATAAATTAATAAATATACTTGTATATATATTTTTTTCTGATATAAATGGTATAGAAATAGAATCTTCCATTCAGGTCATACTGTAGAGTGAGTGAGAGAGAGTGAGAAAGAGAGAGAAAGAGAGAGTGAGAAAAAGAGAGAAAGAGAGAGAGAGAGAACACAAAGAGCTAGAGAAATAGCCAGATAACCCGCACCGCAGTGACCAAGTCGTGCATTTCAGACACGAAGAACAAATCGGGGAAGGCGCAGAAGTGCGACGACTGCGTGCTGTTCCTCCAGCTGGGAGCGACCTTCGCCTTCTTCACCATCAGCTTCATCGTGGCCTTCTGCGTCCACGGCCGCCGCAGGGACCCTTGCCCTGACCGGCACCTCTCGCAAGACCGCTACGTTCCGCCAGATATTGATAAAAATCTATAAAGCTGAGATATATTTGAGAGAGAGAGAGAGAGAGAAAGAGAGTGGAGTGAGATAGAGAGAGAGAGAGAGAGAAAGAGAGAGATTCTGTCATGTTCTTGTGTTTTAGATGTAAAATCTTTTGGAAGAGGATTCGATCCTCGATTCTAGTGGTCTCTGCAGATGTTTTGAGGCCTGTTTAGAGGAATAAAAACACATGAAGAATATTTGTGTTTACACTATACCGTACGTATACATAAAAACACACACACACATATTTATATATACATATATTATATGTATGCATTTTAATGTATTTAGAATATATATACATGTAAAGAACTTGAGATGGGCCAAGGGCCTGCCTGGCGACTCGCCATGTGGGACCCCCGTGGATGGAAGCGAAGGGTGGATGCAGTTATGTGCCCCCGTCGGTGTCAGCTCAGTTGATTGTCAAAATAAATGTGGGTTTCTACAAGGATGTCCAGGGTAAGGTAGGAATTAGCAAAAATAGAGGGTATTTAAGGTTGATTAGATCAGAATTTCAGGAGAAAGTCAGGGGGGAGAGAATCCAGGGATGGAGTCTCATGTGTCTCCAGGGGGAAGTGGAAGGGATAATGGGGAAGGGAGGGGGTTACAAGTATTGAGGGAGGGATAAAGCTGGACATGAATGGATTTTCCAGTGGTCAGTCAGGGTTGATAAAGCTTTAGCTTGAGATCTGGATGCAACTGTGACGAGACAGGGCAGCTGTAGAAGGAAACTTTTCTACTTACTTTTGGAGACATTACTTGTAAACGAGTGTTTTGTCAAAGAGAGGATAACGAAAAATCTATCCCACTTGGCTGGTCTAATAAGTATTCAAAATGTTTGTAGAAGTGGGGACTGCATAGCAGAAGGATGAGGACGAGTGGAAGAGTAGCCTTGAGAGAGGTAGCACTGCAGAGAGGTGGGGAGTAAGGCTGCAAAGTAGTAACAAAGGAGGAGGGGGTAGGAGATGAAAAAAAAAACGTGAGGGTGGGGGAGATGAAGCAGATGACTATCGAGAGAGGAACAATGCTTGCTGGAGGATGAGTAATGCCCTGAGTGGATGACTTGGACCAGGCTGAGATGATAGGTATTGATTAGGAGGTAGTAGTAGCAGTGGAGTCGGGTGGGGCTTGGGATGAAGAAATCTGTGGGGCTAGTTGATATAGGGCTAAGCCTTAATGGCTAAAGGTGCAAAATGACCTGGGGCCGAATAGAGTAGTTGAGAAAGAGAAATACCTTCCCTCAGGGCTTGGGGTGCTGCTAAAGCTTAAATACAGGAATACCGTGCCCATGGCTCCCCAGGCTCAAATCATCATCATAGATTTCATTTCAAAACAACCTCTCACACACCTTAGGATATGGACAGTAGGAGTTGGAGAAAAGAAAGAAACAGAAAGGGGAAGAAGAAAAGACTGACAAAGAATTTAGTTGAGTCAAGGTCTGAGTCCAACTGGGGTGATCCCTGCATTAGCCCCGTCGTCATCTCCCAAGCCCCCACTCTTCTCCCGGCAACAACGGGCATGGGATTGGGGGTAGTAGTGCTGTAACAAGATATCAGTTATAGATATGACATCTAGGCTCTCTTGATTTCAGGTAATAAATAAAATGGGAGACTTGAACACATACTACCATAAAACTTGTTTCTAGACCTGTAGATGGAAAACATACTCATAATAGTGTCTCAGAATCTCTATAGATGGATAAACAAAAACCATAAAATGCAGAAATATTTATTTCTGGAACTCTGAAGTCATAGAATTTTACAACACAGCAAGGTAAGTGCACTTCTCCAGTCTGTCGCTGTGGAACATGTTGAACTTAGTAACAAGATTTAGGCTGAAACCTATTTCTTTAATGACTGTAGCATACTGCAACTATATCCATTTTCTACTGAAGAGAAAAGAAAGAAAAAAAGCAATATAAAATATTTGATTGGAAACTTATTTGCACAAATAAACATCTGGAAAGCAGTGAAAGTGTGTATCTTAATAACAGATTCACACATTTTGTTCATATAAACAATTTATCTTGTCTATCAATATCCTAGGCCATGGTCTATAATATTTCCCAGAATCAATTAAGTACTCCATAAACTTGAACAAAGTTACATTTGCAGCAATATTTTACTTGCTTACCATAAAACAGAAGAGAGGGTATACTTTTACACATACCTAGGATATTTCCTTTAAAAGAAGAAAAAAAGAAAACAAATATATATTATGATTATTACCCTGGGCTCAATAACAAAATAAAGGCACCCCTTGCTCTATCGAAAATGCAGAAGGTTGTACACTGGCAAAATTGTTTGAAAATAGTTCTCTATTTGTACACTTTGAGATCTAATTCACTTTTGAACATTTACTGTTCACAAATTTACATTTCCAACTTTTGACAGATTTTCATTAATAAAATATTGGAATTTAAGACATTAACAATGGCAGAAACTACAAAATTTCAGACCCTGCGTAACTTTCACAAAACTTTGGTTTATCATCAACTTAACCATTGATGACATTGATGTTTTCATTTAAGGTATCATTGTTGGCTGTACACTATGTTACCTTAAGAACTTAATAAAACTAGATATTTTGTTTTACAAAATGTTTTAGTTAACACCACATTGAATATAAAATTCTGTGATACTTTAAGCAACATTTTAATGGCTGAATACTTGCACTCATGTTAATTGCAAAATTGTGAATTTGGTATTCCCAGACGTGGAAACTACAAAATCTTCTGAGAAGTCGCTGGCTTGAGGAGGGGTGATTTCTATGAATGCTAAATATTCTGGCCATACACCTTTAACATGGAAGGATGGGATTTAATACAAGCAACAAGAAGTTGCCGTAGGCTGTATAATTTTTGAAAAGTATAGATTTTATATATTAATCTTTTAAAAGTATGGCTTGTAAGCATTCTTAGGTAATAATCATTAAACTTTAGTGCAGAAAGTGGATGCTGACATTATGAGTCAGGCAGTTTCTCCAACAACAGCAAGTCTTCTATACTGTCATTATAATAAAATAATATATCTGTGGAAGTATGATTGTGGACAGTTAAAAGGACACTTCTGAACAAGTAAAACTTTTTTTTTTTTACTTTCCTTAACAACACTCAAGTGTTAAACACTCCAGTTGGCTTATAGAGGAGTTTATGACTATGCCTAATGGCCTATATTAAAGCTCATTCCTTGTTGTGACTTTCTTTACATATAAAATGCACTCACACTCAACCCACAGATTCAGACAAACACACTCAAAACAATTCAGCCTCACACCAACACCCACAATTTCCACAATAAGTAGTGTTCTTGTCTCAAAAAAAGAAAAGAAAATGATAGAAAGAAAGAAAAAACAGAGATGACTCTTTACAATATACTACGTAGTTTTTCTGTTTCATTACTTAGAAGCTGATGCTGGGAGTGTTAGTACTTATGGACTGCCCACTGTGGTCTTGTTTTACTAATTTCGTTTACAAATAAACAAACAATCAGTCATGAAGGAGTTGCTAAGCCAACCTGACATCATCTAATTATCCCCCATATCTTGAATTCTCTTGGAGATGTTTTTACCTTTACTATTATTACTATTGTTAAGATAATATTCATAATATTGATAACAATAAAAGCTTTTATAATAATGGTTTGATGACTCGTTGGGGGTAATTTGTTTAACTACTGAACATTTTCTGCCACATCAACATGCAAGGTCATTAGCGGCATAACATGATGATATGGTGAAGCTTAGGCATGAATCTCCTTGGCAAGGAAAGGTCATACAGCACTATGGTAAAATATTGTGGCAGAAAGGGTAAAATGAGTTAATAACTAGGACAAAATATGTTTGATGGTAAAGGTTACAGAGTGCTGTAGCTGGGTATGGTAGTAAAAAGGGTAAAAGAGAGAAGAGCAAATGGAGCACGAAGGCCATTCGTGACTGACACAAAGCTAGCTTTTCGTCCTTTCAGTAAGGCTCTCACACTTTAGGATGTGGACAGAAGAAGGGGATGAAAACATGAAGGAAAAGGAATGAAGTAGTAGGAAAGATGAGCAAAATTAGTTGAGGCAAGGGCTGAGGTCCAAAGTAGGGGTAATCCCCTACTTCTGGCCCCAGTCCCTGGCCCCCCCCACAACAATGAGCAAGGGATTGGGGGTTACTGAGGTTAAGGCATTCAAGTGCTGATCTAGTGTTGCAGCATTTGAGGCCCTCTGATGCCAAAAGTAATAAGGACTATTCCTGCACACTGTGAGGTGGTTATCTATAGCTCGAGGTAATGTGTCACTAAACTTGGGCCCACCTTAACATTTATTCATGATCAGTAAAACTACTGAAATAACTTTTATCCCTAAATTTTACAGATTGGCATAAATAGGTGAAATGAGGTAGACATAGTATTTAATTTCTATGTTACTCAAGTGTTTGTGAAGCCACTTATATGATAAAGTTACCAAAACAATAACCCCAGTAGACAGTGCACATACTTGTGAATGGTTTATATTTTAGTTTAATACTAATTTGCAGCCACCTAGACACCATGGCATTTGAATCCTGAAGTAAATACGATCTATAAACTTTTTCACCCTCTTGATACTGTATATACCTACGAGACGAGACATTTCATAGATTGACAAATATTATTTTGTACAATCTTGTTAACTTTCTTTTTTATCTGGATCTGATACTGTTTTCTGGAAAATTGAGATACTATGTAAAAATGTTCTTCAAAACTTTGTCTATGCATTTACAAATGTTTGTATGGTGTAAAAAAAAAAACATTCATCTACTATTTCTGCTGGCCTGAAATGTGTACTTTTTCTAGAAATATATTATAAAAAAAAATACTTTACGCTACATATACACGGTTCTCCATGAGAAGCAAAGTGCTAAAGGCTTATATCGATGGAGTGAGTCAGGGGAGTCTAAAACCCCATCATAATAAATGATGTAATACCCCCCAAACCCCAAACCTCCAACCACCCAACGGGGATGACATGTGCGTACATGCCATGCCCACAGTGTGTTTAATTTAGTGATTGTTTTTACATGTAGATGGCTCCACATATACTAGGTACATAATGAGCCAATTACAAAAAAGTACCTGTCTCACCTGTTTACCCTTTTTCCTTGATTTTCCATAATATTTTCTAGTATTTAATACTGCTGTTAGTAATGCCATTAACAATATTGTAATTATAAGGTTTATGATAAAAATAACATTATCAATATTGATAGCATTAGAAAAAAAATAAAGTTTTTCCCACTAACTAAAGACAGGTGAGGTTACTAACTGATTCCTTTTTGGCAAAGCACTGGCAGAGCCATCTATTTGGAGAGACATTTAATAAAATACTAAAGTGAATGCATTTTCCTGTTAGCATTAGGTTAACAGGCTTTTAGCATGTGTGGACAAACCAGCATAGAGCTTGTACTGGAACCTGAGATAATTCACCAGAATTTGTTGTGTGATGTTGCTGCCAGACATACAATGATATATATGGATATTAGGAGTTATTGTTTTCTATTATTTGAGTTTTTACTAAACTAAGCAAATATGTTTATTCTACTGTCCACTGGTCTAGAACAGAGATCCTTTTTGTTGTAGACCATGGTTATCAGAACACACATCTCTTTTCACTCTAGTCTGGCTTTGATTAGTTTATTAGTTTATTAATATTTAATAAACGTCCACACAGCAAAATTCCCAACAAAGCCTGGTGAGCGCTACTTAGCATGTTCCGTGTCATTGGCAATGATACTGACTCGCTCCCCCCCCTCATGCGAAAGGAAAGAAACATTCCTTGGCTGATATTTGAAGAGGTACTTGGATGTTGGATGTTTTGAAGAGTCTTTTGAATACATAAAACATGTGTACACTGGTGGGTTGAGCTGCATTTTAGAGAACAAAAAATGTCTATGATAAGACCCATCAGAGATCATACAGTGAGTGATTCTATTTAGAGGGTCATGAAAAACCATTAAATTCTAGCTACATGCAAGGTTTTCTATTTACAAAAAATAAGGAAAAACGTATGAAAATTATCTAGCAGGGTGGTTTACGAGGCAAGGGTAAGTATAAATGAGCTGTATTCACTGTTTTTCAGAATATTTGGAACACATTGATATGTTCATGGAATTGTCTATATAGATAAAAGTTTTAAAAAGAAAACAGTTATTTCTATCATAAATACGTATACTTTCGACAACTTCTTAAAAAATAATGATGGTCTCTATAGTAAATTAGCTTTCATTGTTTTTATATAAAATTAGTTACATAATCATATCTGTCTTGACTAAATACTTGAACATCCATAAACCATCATCTAAGCCACATAAAATTGAAAAAGCATAAAAAAAAAGTTATGAATTTCTAATTCCGACCCACTAGTGGATCATATCACAAAATAAAATGAAGCATCATGACCTACCAGTGGGCTGCATTGAAAAGAACATATTTATCATGTGGATGCGGTTTCAGTCTACCAAATGCTAATATTCAGTCTGCAGTTGTTAGCTTTCCCTTGTGACGGTATAATTTTCCCTTAACGGTATATGCTCCCTTTTCATTGCTGATAACACGTCTTTTTCGTTCCTGTTAACTAAGTAACTAAGCAAAATACCAATATCACCAAATTAAAAAAACAACAACCCAGTAATAGTAGCAATCACAGCATAAGTGATAGTAATCAATAAAGAAATAAAATAATAAAAATGTCCTGTCCATGTACCTCCTCGTAAAACATGGGTGTGCCTTTGCAGGACAGCATTTATATTGCAGAAATAAACTTGCATAAAATAAATAAAGGGGGGGAAAAAAACAAACAAAAAGACAAAACTCATCCACACTGTTTTATAATTCATACATATCTGTAAACACTAAAATTCCTATATATATAATGTCAGACATCAAGGTTTGAGCATTAATATGTAAAAAAAAAAAAAACAAAAGAAAAGAAAAAAATCAGAATAAAATTATAGGATGACTTTTGCTGGTCATAATAAAATCATGCACAGTTTACAGAGCTAAATTTTCTGTCCAGAAATAGCAAAGTAGTTATTATATATCATGAGGAATTGTTAGCACATACATCCCACAGATTGCCTTCCACATGTTAAAAGCTTGTTTTAAGCTGAGAAATCCTTTTCAAACCATAACTATTGCATAAATCCAAAAATATGCTAACAGACTGTGCTAACTATTGACATGGTCATAATGTTGCTCTTATCAGTAACATCACACTGGATACATTAACACTTAAACCAACAATCATCATTAAATGCCCGCAGTTGCCATCGGAAATTATAATTTTCATGGTACCGTAAACTAGAACCTGCTGACATCAGTAATATGCACGACGGGGATTATTCTGAAATCAGATACATAAGAATATATCAATCCATACTCGATTCATTATATCTATTACCAATAGCAAGGTTTTAACTTGTTCTCACTGACTAGTATAATGGTCATTATAATTTTACAATCATTAAATCTTTTTCTTTTTGTGCTTGAAAGGTTACTGGGCTTTTTAGTTATTATCAAAAACTTTTCATTCATTAAAATATTAATACTGGGATTACCAGAAACATCTTCACATAACCAGGTGAAAAGAAATTCTAGTAATAAAATAGCGTACTTTGAAAGTTGATTATGGAGTGAATAAAGATGAAAAGTCAGTCAGTAAAATATAATCTTGTAATTCAAAAAGAACAGTGTTGATAAGGTAAAATTATGTTAAATATGTATAACATTTTAAACTTGTTATTACTCTTCCAAAAAATTGTAAATGTTACTAATGAAAAACAAGATTTCAGTCAAGGGATAAAAATAATCTTTTGTACTTACCAAAGGATTTGGCCGGAATCGATATGCTAACATCATGCGTTTACGATATGCATCGTATTCGTCGTCATCCTCGTTTAAATTGTCTGGTCTCTCTACACCCAATCCTTGACTCTCAGATCGCCCATTTCTGAAAAGCAAAATGCAATAAGCAATATTTCCAAGGTCAATAATAAAGCAAAAGGTTGGTAAATAACTTCTGTATTGCACACAATACTCTGATAATAAGGAAGGCATCGAGTGGGCGATGTATGATGCGAGTTAGATTAATGGGATATGAGAGTATGTGTGACGCAGGACGCGATATGGTGTGTTACACTGACTATAGCTCAGTTGTATAGCGGGCAGTGTAACGCTTGGTAGTGTGAGTGAGGTATGGTGTTGAGGAGGTGCAGGGCCGCGCAGAGGTCGAGCTGGATAGTGAGATGATTGATGCGCATTCTACTTATTGGGGCGGCAAGCGGCGTAGACGCTCGAGATTGGCTGCGGTGGTCGGCATATCGAGCGCTGGCGGGTGCATTCGTAGAGCGGTGTCACTACTCGAGGAGAGATTGCGCGCTGATGGTGAACTTCGTTGTTTCGCGGGACGACACACATGGTAGCGCGGCTGTATCTATATCCGGTTGGCCGTTTGCATCGCGCGTGAGGCGGCTGGGAGTCGAGGGTGGATAAGTGCTTAGGAGTGGTCGGTTCTGCTTGCGATATGAGATCGTGTCTAGTAGGCAAGTGAGATGTTGTAGCTGCTGCAGTCTGTGATGGTAGCCGGTGTACGGTGCTGCGATGTAGGACGTATGTGATGATAGACTACTGGCTACAGGTTGATATGAGTAGGCGATCTGGGGTGTGAAATAGCGCAGTTCGGAGCGGCCGACTGTTGTTCTAGGTATGCTATGATTGGTTGGCTTATGATGGTATGGGAATGGATACTCTAGAAGCGCCTGAGGTTGTACGGTCGTCGTATGCTGACGTGTGTGTGCAAAGGGTGTGTCTGTGCTGAGTGGGTTGAGGTGTGCTAATGTTCGTCTCTGGGATGCTGTCATTACAGTGACGTCAATGGGACGGCTGTGATGACAGCCCGAGAGAGGCGTGGATCGCTTCGTCGGAGCCTTTTAATCGGTGTCGAGGTGCAGAAGCGGGATTATCCTATAGGGTTTCGAGTGAGGTATCTGGATGTAGATGACAAAGTGCAGGTACAAAAGGTGTGGTGAAGGCTGTCACCGCGCTACGTGACTATGGATAGAGCTGTGGGTACGTATGCTTCGGACGGGTAGTTGCAGGATATTGGGTATGATGGCATCACGTGGCGTACGAGGTGATAGAGTCCTACACTGCAAAGTATAGCGACTGAGCGTGGATGTTGTCTCACTGCGCGATATCGATGTATACACGTAGCTCGGAGCTACATGGCAAGTTCATGGAGCATCGAGGTGGCTTCGTACGGGAGAGAGGAGCGGATTAATATGTGGTTCGTGTAGGATATGCGCCGGCTGATGCGAGCATCGCCTGTGTGTCAGTGGAGCGATGCCGCTCGACGATGAGCGATTTGTGAGATAATTTCGACTTAGATGTTGTCATTGACTAGAGTATGAGTAGAGAGATGAGTGAGTGATCAAATAGAGTGTGATGATAATATGAGGCGAGGTTGCGATGACGGTGAGACAGGTGTGGAGGTTGGACATAGGCTGATATAGTTCGGAAGGTGAGATGATCAGGCTGGACGAGTGCGATGAGCAGAATGCTCGAGTGAGTTGACGATAGCGCGTTGAGTGGAACTGATGGTAAGGGGTAGATAGGGCGAAGGGACGACGAGAGAGTGGATAGGTATGTCGAGGGACGTCAGATAGAGAGACGAGGAGTGATGGGATCAGCGCTTAGTCGAGATCGGAGTGATACGATATATAGACTTCGCTGAGAGGGTCAGAAGGAGCGATTGAGAGTGGTAGTGTGATATCTCAGGGTTGGTGGTGAAAGTGATGTTCGTAGGGATGAGACGAGCGCAGAGCTGAGGGAGAGCTCGATGGGAAGTGAGATCGGCTATGGAGCATGATGTGTCTGGGATGCGAGTAGGGCGCATCGGAGACTGAGAGGAGAGGAAGATCGAGTATCAGAGATGCATAAGAGGTTAGTGAGATAGCGAAGAAAGAAGAGTGTGAGTGATGAGGGTTGTGGAGCAGATGGAGCTTAGTGTGAGAGAGATTTAGGAGTGCGGGACGTATTGAAGCGAGTTAGGATCGGGTGAGGAGTGCATGAAGAGCTGGTCATTAGAGATGCTGAGTCTGGTCGGATTGAGTAGTGTATATTATATTCGCGCTAGGGAGTGAGTTGTCTTTAATGTGCGGTGCATTGAGGCATAGAGATCGTTATGTATATGTCGGCTCGGCAGCGACGTTTGTTCGAGAAGTATGGTATGATTGAACTTCACAAGTGCTATTGCTGAGCTGAGGTGATGAGGCAGTGCGGGGATATAACGAGGGTCATGCGGATGTGACGCGCGTGGTTGTAATTGGATGCGCTGGTGTGATTAGCGGGCGGATTCATATTCGGGCCGGGTGAGGTGAGAGGAATATGTATATAGAGGCTTTAGACGTATGCTCTGTCGATAGAGATGATGACTCTGTCAGATTTTCCCTCGGCCGTGGGAAGTTGTTGTGGGTTGTAGATTGGCAGCGAGTGACGTAGAGCAGGAGAGTGCTCGATGATAGCGTGTGGGTAGCGGATCTAGAGTACGTGTTCTGAACATTGCTGCTGGTCGCGGGCTGCGGCTGCAGACTCGCGAGGGCATCCTGCGGTATCGGTAGAGGTTTTTGCGCGTATAGGACTTGCAGAGACGCTGCAGGAGGCTATGTACTAGCGTCGGTAGCTATCGTCAGCGTATGGACGAGATGTGCATGCTAGCATTGAGTTGTGGTAGTGGAGCGTCGGATTCAGCGCGTATAGTTAGAGTGTCACGGAGGTGGTGGTGTTAGGGCGGTAGTGTGTACGTCAGCGAGTCAGCCAGTAGCGTTATTGGGCTTCGAGTCTCTATGCACTCTCTCCTTGACCGCTCTGTAGGTGGCAGAGGGGAGGGAAGTCAAGCGAGTAGAGGAGATTAGCGTTATTGAGGAGAATACCGTGGATGTAGTCGGAGTGCCTCACCAGATAGTATGTGAAGGCAGACATGTCAAGAGGATGTTAGAGCGGAGTCGGAATAAGTTTGTATACGGTGATACCGCGCGATACCAACTGTTGTCTCAACACATGGCTAAGGGCGGTTTTGAGAGATGACGTTCTATAGTCATCATCGCCGAGGTGTAGTGCTTGATAGATGAGCACGCGCAGTTGCATGTGAGAGAGCGCGGAGGCGTTAGGATGGAGGAGAGATGAATAATAGCTGTGGCAATGAGAGAGTTGGCGGCGTGAGAGCTAGTGATACGAAGAGTTGCGTGTAAAACAATACGCTTAGTGGATGTATTGAGTCGCGTTACTGTGTGAAGGATGGTCCCCTTCACGTAGTACGTTGCATTCGTCGTCAGGGAATCGAGAAGGGCTGATAATCTACTGTCGTACGATGACCTTCGATTTAGGTGCTATCGGGGCGCACTGAGGCCGTTTAGTGAGCGCTGAAGTGTGTATGCGTTATCGTATGTCACAGCGTTCGTGTGCTTTTTTGTATCAGTGTTGTCGGTGTGTATCTTGGGACGCGTGAGAGGACTGGTGGATGAGAGAAGAGGCTGTAGGGAGAAGTGAGATGTCAGAGCACATGTCGTAGTAGAGGGTGATGTGTAGTGTGGGTGAAAATCATCAGAAGAGGCTACGAGATATGATGTTGAAGGACAGGATGTGTAATGGGTAATGAGCTTGTAGGTGCAGTGGTGAGGTGCTGATTATAATGGTGCGGCACGCGCAGGCTGTGCACGTATGGATGGTGTAGTAGTGAGCTAGCACGAATAGATGCTTGTACTGATGACTCGCGAGTGTGTGCGTGAGTACGAGGAGAGTTTATGCAGGCAGATCTCAGAATCATTCACATAGATTGCAAGGAGAGGAGTTTGTTATGGAGAAGTGTCACAGGACGAGAATCATAGGTTATGTCCGTTGAGCAGGCGTTGATGGTCATCGATGTGGCTCAGGGACGTACATTGAGCCGGGGAGTTGGCGCATGGCACGACTGAGAAGATATATAGCGTGGAAGAACGTACCTGATGTAGACGTACAGAGGAGATCGCGCGAGTATGATAGTTGCATAGGTGTATGATCGTAGAGGGATGAGATTGGTGGCACAGTCAATCTGGTCGCGCGTTCGTGATGGAGTTCGGAGTTCGGAGAAGTCTGTGTTGGTGATGATCCATATACGATAGATGGACGTCGTATTGGAAAGGAGTATGAGGACGCGTTGGAGCAGCGTATGATGGATCTTGATAGATCGGATGTAGCTGATGAGTGAGCGCAGCGCGATAGACATCATGTGTGCGTCTTAACGTGCGCGATCGCTGATATGTGCCTACGGTAGCACACTGCATGTATCATGTGCGGTGCTTTATGCGGCACTCTGACTCGCCGGATATCCGTCGGGAGCTAGGTAGTGCGGAGTTGCCAGAGCCCTGTATCACTGATTGTCGGAGTGTGCACGGAATGCTGCTGTGGCTACGGTATATGTAGAGGCGCTGAGCTGTGTGATATGCTGAAGAGCGGGTGGATAGTGTGTTCGCTGGTAGGGGGTCAGCGGTGTTGGCTGTCTGCGCAGGTAGATAGAGAAGTGAGTCTGTAGGTAGCGATGTTGCAGTGTTGTCGTTGTGATGTCGGGCTGTGATGTAGGATGGCGAGAGTGTAGGTGGAGACTGCGCTCCGCGCGTGCATGGGAGTTGTGATGTTATTCGGTTGACTGGTGAATAGCGTGGCGAGTAGTAATCGGTGTCCGTCGAGTAATGTGGTATAGAATATTAGGGACCGATGTAATGGCTATGTGACGAGAACGTGATGTGCGTAGTTGGATAGTGAAGACGAGGCGAGCATCGTTAGGTTAAATGAGGTGGTAGTCTATGCGTTTGCTGATGAGTCCTGGTGGAGTCTGTGATCGATCTGTATCGAGCTTGGAAGTGGCTACGGCGCGTCATTCACAGAGTCCGTATGCCGTGTATTATAGAGTGCAGTTCGGTGGCGTGGATGGAGGTTACGGGTAAATTCACAACTTGGTGTTTGGGGGTGGGACTGCGATGGGAGCAGCTTTTGGAAAAACACAATAGCAAGTTTATATGTACATCTTTGCTAATAAGGGAGAGAGAGAGAGAGAGACGAGAGAGACGAGAGAGAAGAGGGAGAGAGAGAGGAGAGAGGAGAGAGAGAGAGAGAGGAGAGAGAGAGAGAGAGAGAGAGAGGAGAGAGAGAGAGGAGAGAGAGAGAGAGGGAGGGGGGGAGAGAGAGGGGAGAGGGGAGAGAGGGGGAGAGGGGAGAAGAGAGGGGAGAGGGGAGCAGAGAGGGGAGAGGGGAGTCAGAGAGGCGGAGAGGGGGCAGAGAGGGGAGAGGGGCAGAGAGAGGGAGGCAGAGAGGGGAGAGGGGAGAGAGGGGGGAGGGGGAGAGGGAGGGCAGAGAGGGGAGAGGGAGGGCAGAGAGGGGAGGGGGGAGGGAGAGAGGGGAGAGGAAGCAGAGAGGGGAGAAGGGGAAAGGGGGAAGGAGAGAAGGAGGGAGAGGGAGAGAGAGAGAGAGAGAGAGGGAGAGGAGAGAGAGAGGGAGAGGGGAGAGAGGGAGAGAGGGAGAGAGAGAGAGGGAGGGGGAGGAGGGAGGGGGAGAGAGGGAGAGAGAGGGAGAGGGGAGAGAGAGAGAGAGAGAGAGAGAGAGAGAGAGAGAGAGAGAGAGAGAGAGAGAGAGAGAGAGAGAGAAGAGAGAGAGAGAGAGAGAGAGAGAGAGAGAGAGAGAGAGAGAGAGAGAGAGAGAGAGAACGAGCATACATGTGCATATGTGAAATGAATACCGTTATCAATATTTATGATTAATCCTACACCTTCCAAGAGATAATTAGACAATGAAGCATAAAATATATTTGTGTGTGAAACTAGTACATATTCTTCAAATAAGATACTCTCCTTATGTTATCAGTTTTGTACTAAAATAAATTTGAAGAGTAACAGATAAAACCGGTTCACATCTGTGTGGAATATCCTTCGTATGTGTGTTTTCTTTATAAGATCTGTACAGGGAAACTTGTACGTTCTTCTAGGCCACAGTCAAAGGGCTAATACTGACATTTACAATACAGTAAAAGAGAATGTTACCGTCAAAAAATTTAGTAAAGAATGATAAAAACAACAGCAAATATCTATAGCAATGTACCAGTCTGTTGTTCTACTAATGCACATATTTACTACACTCCTGATTTAGTCCTCAAAAACATCCTTTTACCATTATATCAATGATTTGTGTATGTGTTAATATTATGATTCTCACAAAATTATGTAATACTAATATATAATGTATAATGAATTGAAAATAGGTCAGCTTTTTGCTTCTAAGAAAAAGTAAAATTTTTAAAAGTTTTACTGCTTAGGACTATGGTGTCAATATTCTATGCATGAAGTGTGTTTTTTAACCAATAACAGGACATCTACAAGGCAGTAAGCAAGGTATAGTTATAATGAAATAAGTACTTATTTACAATCATTATAACTATAACACATATTGATATTTTTCTATGTACTGAAGTCATACATGGATGGTTCCACAAGTGCTTAGCCACCAGTCTGTCACTACCCCTACCTAACTCATTATCATTTTCTTTGATTTTAAAAAATATAATTCTTTATCTTATATTATCATTACTATTATTAATACCATGGTAACCAAAATGTCAAAAACAACATCAATATTCATAGCACTACGAAGTGGAAAAATAAAATAAAATAAAATAATACAAAATAAAATTAGCACGAAAACTCCCGGAAAGGGCAGGTCATATCAGCCAACTAACTGACTCCTTGGTGGTTGAGCACTTCAGGAACCATATGCATGTAAAAGCATTTCACAAAACAAAATTACAATCTGCAAAACAAGTTCCCTGAGGTAGTGGGTTAAAGAAAACTTTCTGATAGAAGAATCAGTTTACATGTGTATATTTTTCATTTGATTAAAATTATAAACATTTTGAAGCTTACTTTTAATGCAAAATTCAAATACAAAAATCCTCAAGCGAAAGAATAAATCTGATATCAAGAACTTCACTGGGTTACTAAATCTTTGCATTTGTTTGATGTCCTATGAATCTAATAGTCTAGAACTGGCACTCCTCATCTGGCTAAACAGCATAAAGCATGTGGTGAGAATGTAAACAAAAATCCTAATATCTCAACTATATATGAAGGATGTAATTTCTACATATGTGAAAACTAGAGAGTGAGAGGAATCCAACGATACCAAAATCACAATCTGTTTGGTGGATCTATTCCAAAAATTATGTAATGTACACAGCATATGTGGTATTCAGTAAGCAACACTACTTTCCAGCTTGGCCAAAAAATTACTGTCTACAGCCCTGCAAGTGCTCAAAGGCAGGTTGTATTCACTGGCCCCGCAACTCTAATGGTTTGGAATATTCATTTGAATCTGGTGATCACTAGTCTGTACAGATACCGCTTGATCACTTAAGCTAAATCAATGCTTCATATATAGCTACTTTTTCTGATGTATATATCTCCTCGCGATCATACATACTTCACCCCTTTTTATTGTATGCTTCAATAAATCTGAGAAAATGCTACTCAAGACACCTGTATTGTCTCAAGCTTGCTGGACGGGTAAAATTCAGTGATAAAAAAACAAAGAAAATAAAGCTAATAATGCTCACAACAGCTACAATAGATAAAGGGAAGAGAACTGGAAGGTGTCCTTTTTTACATGATCAAAAAAAAAAAAAAAAGACAAAACATGATTTTTTTCTTTTCTTTTACCTGCAATCTGGAAAAAATGCAACTGGAATGCCTTGTATGCTTAACTTTTGCAATTTTGATATACTGTGAATAATTCATTACATCAACAATTTTGGGATGCATTATCAATCAATTATTTGCATAATAAGATAACCATGTCATTCATTAGATTCTGGTAATCATAGTATTTACAGTGATCAGCTTCTTAAATACCATATCAATGACAACACATTCAGTAACAAAGACCTTAAAAGAAGAAAATGGATAAAGCTCCCTTACCTTGCGCAGGCAGCACAGGAGGCACATTGGTAGGGGAGGAGTCTTCCCAGCGACTCTTCCTCCTCTTAACCTGCTGTTCCTCTCTGTCAAGGCTCTTGCCACTGTCATCTTCACTGGAACCAGCTGAGAGAGAAACTAGCAAACTTCATCAGTAAAGCTGCCTCGTTACTAACCTAGCAATGGGGAGTGGAGAGAAATAACAACGCAGGTGACCACATGCCAAAAAAAATAATTCAGCTTTGAGACATAAGTTTATAACAGGAATTGGCATCACAAGCACCAACATCCAGCTTCTCTATCATAATTTCTTCCCTGTGGGGCGAATCACAAAGGCATAACATGAACAGCAGATCTACTTGGCCAAAAAAGGAACTAAATCAAACTGCTAAAAAAGATATAAATTAATGAAGATAGAATAGGAAAGAAAGAATTAAGCAAAATCCAAACCTACTGTTATATCATACGTCAGAACTAACTTGTATGTAACAATATTCTATCTGAATATAATTACATATGAGTTAAAAAAAAATATATGTTAGAGAGAGAGAGAGAGAGAGAGAGAGAGAGAGAGAGAGAGAGAGAGAGAGAGAGAGAGAGAGAGAGGAGAGAGAGAGAGAGAGAGAGAGAGAGAGAGAGAGAGAGAGAGAGAGAGAGAGAGAGAGAGAGAGAGAGAGAGAGAGAGAGAGAGAGAGAGAGAGAGAGAGAGAGAGAGAGAGAGAGAGAGAGAGAGAGAGAGAGGGAGAGGAGAGAGGAGAAGAGAGAGAGAGAGAGAGAGAGAGAGAGAGAGAGAGAGAGAGAGGAGAGAGAGAGAGAGAGAGAGAGAGAGAGAGAGAGAGAGAGAGAGAGAGAGAGAGAGAGAGAGAGAGAGAGAGAGACGAGAGAGAGAGAGAAGAGAGAGAGAGAGAGAGAGAGTGTGAGTGAGAGTTTATACCTACTTACAAGATGATATAGGAGGCGCGGCTCGATAAATAGGTAAACGTGATTTAGAGTATAATTACGCTGAGAAGTTACCACATGAATCATGACAGGGACTGGTATTTCGAGTATTTTGTTGGCTTGATATTTTGTCATAGGAATGGAACTGGTTAGGGTGCGAGGATCATGAGCCATGGATATTGGAGGTAAGAAGAAGTCAGTTGCTGGGTATGAGATCGAGGTGTGATGATATGGATCCTACGCGAAGGAATCATCGGGTATCTACAATTGATAGTGTTCACGACAATCATGTCACATACATATTCAATACATAATTGGTCTCATGTTTTACTACCTAATGCAATTAAATGGAGTTTAGTACATGTCTATATCTGGCAATATAAAAATAATTGTCGCATAGGAGGCGATTTAATCAGTGACTGCGAGGATTAATTGCGATGAAATGCTTTAATTAGACTAAATAAAGGTATCTAGCTTTGAGACGAATACGTTGCAGGGAAGTATTATAGACATGGAGCGACGCGCGCAGCTATGATCTGCGCGCAATGCATTGAGTTGGTCGCTACGCTAGGCTGAGTGCTGAGAGTCGTGCGTATGTTGCTGTGAGGTGTTGAGTGCGTTGAGTGAGTACTGGCGAGCGGCATGCATCGACGTATGTAGTGCATGTACGAGTCACGATTGAGGAGCGAGTGAGATAGTACCGCAGCATATGGCGAGTAGATAGAGAAATCATTGTGAGAGGATCCTGATGAGTGGATGGCGAGAGTTGTTGTACGCTGCAGAGCGCTGTGCTGGATAGAAGTGCAAGAAGTTTTAGCTGGTTGCGGCTGGTGTCTCTTAGGTGAGGTTGTATCGGGATATGACGCTAGAGATTAGTTTGAGCTGTGATGAGAGATTTACAAGAGCATATGCTGAGGAGGCACGAGTACCGAAGGTCGAGGTTGGATGATTGGATGCGCGCCAGGTCGGTGCAGAGACAGATAAGAGTGCGCTACATTCGCGCAGTACAGATTGTTACGCCGCAGATGGGCTGAGACATCGTGGACTCGAAGCGGTGATGGTGGCTGGCCTGGGTAGCCACCACCCTTATTTCTGCTGCTAAGGAAGCTAGCCTTCGTGACAGCGCGCTAGTACGTGAGACTCTATGGAGCGATAGGAAGAATATATAGTTAATACTTAAAGCATAGCGCGGTATGGGGAAATACCGACGGTAGTATTAGTATGGATCGCTGTGCTTGTGATCGCCCGGTGGATATCTCTATGACAGACTGGAATAGTGTAGTGTGTGTCGGATGGGATGTGAGAGGGCGGGTAAAAGACAGAATGTGTGAGTGATGGACAAGTGAGGAAGTCCAAAGTGAGTATGCATTGGCAAACGAAAAGAAAAAGAAAGAAGAAGTAGTCTCTAGGGTACATAGTACATGTAGCGACGTATATTGGTAGGATGGAGGGTAACGAATCAGTAACGATATATTCCTAAGAACAGTTACATCTGTCGGTGAGTTCAGATGTGTGCAAAGCTAAATATGCAGGACGCGTTGTATTCGCAGAGGTATCTGCAGTATATGTGCGAGTACTGCGCGTATGACTCAGGATGTGGCGGCGTGTTAGTGAGTGATCGTGTTGCGTTTGTTGAGAGAATGCAGAGACGATTAAGAGTAGGTGTCATATATGCTTAGGCGTGAGCTGAGGACATAACTGCTGATTGATGGCGTGTGAATTGTCGGCGCTGGTATTAGGACGTTGTAGCATGGTAGAGAGCTGAGGATAGGAGCAGTGTGACTCGTTTCGCAGTTAGCAGGGTGATGTCTGTGGATGTAGGAGATATGATTTGCAGTTAGTAGAATTGATTGGATCTGAGATGAGGATCATCCGGAGCGATGGCGCGTGTGGTGCGTCTGTGCATCTCCTGTCTGTATAGTTATAGTGCGTCGACTCGTATTTCGTACGAAGACATCGGTTATAGAAACTCGGTGAGTAAGCTGACGTTCGGTAGCGAAGAGCTAATGGATATCTGCGCTAGATGAGAGTTCGAGAGGAGGTCGCTAGAGGTCGTGTGGTGGCGCTAGATCGAGGTTGCGATCTAGTCTAGCGCATCTGAGGTTGTGACGAGTGTGGCGTGGTAGAGCGACGGTTTGCAGGATGTGCGAGTTGTTATGTGCAGAGTGATATATGTTCTCGGTGGATGCGATTTAGTGTTGGGACAGCGCAGCGAGAGACGCTACATCGCAGTATGATAGAGTAGCGTGTGACTACTATCGATGTTGTAAGTGCGGCCTAGTAGTGAGGGTGGAAAAGACTACCGGCGCTTTGTAGTGCCTAGTGATGCTGCGAGATGGCAAATAGTCTGCGGTCCGACTAGTGTGAGGGGAGAATGGCGGAGCGCTTTTATCGTCAGCTACGATGGGCTAGTGGCAGGTCAGCAGCAGTCTTGTGGTGAGTCTGAGCGGTGGTGGTTGGCGTGTCGCTGCTGTATGGAGAACTGTGGAACTCAAGATAAGTATGTCGATGCTGGTATGTGGGGTAGTCGCATCGCGTGTGTGCTGCGCGTGGCTGTGAGTGTAAGGCTCGAGGATACTGAATTGAAGCCAGTTCACGAGGTATTGGCTGATAGTGTAGAGAGCGACGTGAGAGTACACTTTTGATGTGATGAAAGCTAGGATGTATGAACTTAGTGTATGTGCAAGAGGAGGTTTAGTGTGGAGCCGACGGTTGTGTAGATTGTAGGGCTGGCTGAGCGCCGCAGGTGTTGAGTGCCCGCGAGCGATGTGAGGGCTCTCCGTAGTGTGCGTAATAGTAGCATGGGGTATTAGTGGGTCCACGCGACGATAGCTGATCTTGATGCGCTCTCTCTGAAGGGGGCGATAGATGGTGGATGTGCCTGTAGAGTAACGTTCGGAGTCGGACGGTGGATGTGAGTGCCTGTAGCGACATAGTTGGGTCTGCTCAGTATGAGACAGCTAAACGATCTTGCGGTCTGCGGCTGCAGGTGCTCAGAGATACGACGATGAGGAGCGTCTAAGACATAGTTATGGCTTGTCGTCTTAGTACGTACAAGTGTTGTCGTACTAGTCGTTACAACAGATTCCTGTTGGCTGAGATTGGAGCGAGCGTGTTGTTGCGTGGAGTGTGTGGTATGTGTGGTTTGGTCATGGTAGTGATTTATTAGATTCGAGAAGAGGTCTTAGGCTGTTATGGTTGGAGATGCTGGGTGGAAGAGTGAGGAGTGCGGGAGTTACGCGCGATCAGGAGAACGTTCTATAGTGAGCAGTCAGAGGGTGGAGAATTCTTTATATCCTTCGCACGAGCCAGAGAGAATACCTGTTCGTGGCAGTCGCGCGATGGGATCGGTCATCGTCGCATGCGATTTGCATCAGAGTTCACCTTCTAGGCTGTAGTTGGTGGAGTGTTACGCACTGTGTAGTTAGGAGCTATGGGTTAATCAATGAAAATAGTTGACTTGAGGTATTGTCGTCCGAGTGATTTTGGTAGGAATCTGATGAAGTGACGCATTGAGGCTGATGTATCGGGTAGTGGTAAGCGATGAGTGGCAGAGCTCTTGTGTCATATGGCACACTGGTGGATTGTGAGTCGAAGAACGCGACATGTGAGTGTAAGAATCAAGTCGCGTGGAGAGGCTGGCTGTCGTTGTGACGGTCTGCGGGTGTTGTGAAGCGTGTGTAGAGTGCAGAGAGAAGGAGAGATAGCGTGAGTCGAGATAGCTGTGAAATCGAGGGTAGGGATGTAGGATGGTAGGCTTATGTGTGCAGTGGTCGAGTGTATCGGGTGTATGTTAATCATTGTGCAGTCATAGCAGATGGTCGCGATGGGGTGATGGTCGAGCGATGAGGCGCGCAAGGAAAGGATTGCGCTGCTGGAAGTGGCAAGAGTTCATGTTCCAGTCCGAGTTGTGGGTCGTGTTAGCGTGTTGGTGTACAGATTTTCGTGTCGCAAGTTGAAATAGGAGTAGTTCGTAAGATTTGAGGATAGGACTGACAATGACACTGAGTGTGCACTCTTTCGCCATGTATATAGTTACGACTATATTCCATTTAGGCTGCGAGATTAGACTTAAAATAAGTACTCTGTTTAGTGTGTAGTTCGATGTTGTGAGCCTGAGCAGGAGAATTGTGATGCGTGTCGCTGTAAAGTTGATGTGATTATGTATGATCATCGCTCAGTATAACGACGTTGTGCTA